TCAGCCTCCCAAAATGCTGGGATTAAGGGTGTGAACCACCACACCTGGCCAACAGAGTGCCTTCATTATGAGAGGAAAACAATTTCTGGAAGAGCAAAGAAACCCTGCGTACCTGAGACATGGTGTAGAACTCCACCATGGCAGCAGTGAGCGGCTCCGCGTATGTCCGCAGGGATGGAATGAGCCTCAGCATGGCGCGGTTGAAGGTGCCGTAGATCTGTGTGAGGGAGGCGGGGCCCGGGTAATCCACATACACGACAGGCACGTGACGCAGGAACCTGTGCACAGACAGCCCAGCTCAGCGCCCCTCCCTGACAGCGGCTCCAGGGAAGGGGCAGTGTGCCAGTGGAGTCGCCCTGCCAGGGCCCTGTCTGGAGGTCGCTTCCTAACCCAGCTATGCAGATTTGACATCAGTGTTAGCTGAGATCACACACACACTGCTCAGGCTTGGGGTCCGACACGTAACAGTCGATGGAAAACACTTGAAAAAGAAACCAGCAAAGATGAGAAAATAACCAAGGCTTATTTCAGCCTCATCTTGGCTCTACAGATGAGTCTGGAGCAGTTCTTCACTACCAAGAGATCAATGCTTTCATTTTATTTAATTTTATGAGATGAAGTCTTGCTCTGTCGCCCAGGCTGGACTGCAGTGGCGCGATCTCGGCTCACTGCAAGCTCTGCCTCCCGGGTCCACGCCATTCTCCTGCCTCAGCCTCCCGAGTAGCTGGGACTACAGGCACCCGCCACCTCGCCCGGCTAGTTTTTTGTATTTTTAGTAGAGATGGGGTTTCACCATGTTAGCCAGGATGGTCTCGATTTCCTGACCTCGTGATCTGCCCACCTCCGCCTCCCAGATTGGGATTACAGGCTTGAGCCACCACGCCTGGCCAATGCTTTTATTTTTAACATGTTTTCCTGGCATTACAGCAGAGAAGTAACCCAAGAGGAACCCATGATAAGCAGTATTGTTTTTATTCTCAAAACCAGGTTTTTGTGGTGCTGTGTTTACAGCAATCCTGGAGCTGTGTGTACAGCAATCCTGGAGCTGGGTGTGTGTGAAGCAGAGCAGTCTACCAAGCTGTTTTACCTGTGTGAGAGGGGCTTTCTTCCAGGGTCTGTGGGGGGATTACAAGCCCCAACAAACTGGATTCTCTCCAGCTTCACCCACGTTTGGTCTGAGGTGCGGTAAAAGCCTCCGTGCTCCACCATCTGAAGGAAAGGACAGGTACTACATCAGGAGCAAAACGTGAACGAGAGACATTGTGGGGCAGGAAGGGCCTGTGGACAGAAACAAACCTGTCTGATGAAGGATATGACCCTCTGCGTCCCATATTTATCCATATCTGGCAAGTTGATTTCATCACAGAACAACACCAGCCACTTTCCAAGTTGAACAGGAGCCAAAACAACCCCGTTAGGCGTGCGCCTGTACTCGCAGTAGTGATCAAAAGTCTTCAGAAGCAGCTCTGGCGTCGTAGCACTGGAGAAGTTGAGACCCACCACCTTTGGAGGGAAGACACAAAACCACACTGTGAGACCAACCCCCCGCTCAACACCAAAAGCTCTGCTGTCCACCTCCTGGCCGCTTTACCTCCATGTCAGGCAAGGCCCGGAGGGCGCTGAAGAGTGTCATGGTCTTGCCAGACCCCGGAGGGCCACACAAGACCAGGGGCTTGTGCTCGGCCAGCCAAGTGTACAAGAGGGCTTCGTGGCGGACTGTGTCCAGTGTCGGCACGACGACGTCAGGGGCTGCCACCTTGTGCGTCTCCACTTCAATCTGAGGCACCTTGGCCTGCCACGGAGACCACTCTCCGCTGATGGACACCTACACACAGAGATGGAAGCGTGAGTCAGGCCGGAACCAAGGTGTCTCCTCACGAGGTTTGCTTACCTGAACACAAACTTGAGCTTTCAGAATAAGGAAGGAATTGGTCAGGCTAATCTGCATTCTTTGCTAACACATGAAACTAAAAGGATAAAGTCCTTCTATGAAAAGGAATACAATGAAAAGAAAAAATACTCAAGGTCCATGGTCAGGTTGTTCCAGGACGAGTTAAATCAACACGGGCTGTAACCGCATGCTCACCTCATAATCGATAATGGGTATGTTGGGCGCAGTGGGCAGAGGCACGGTCGTGATTCTTCTGATGTATTCACCCAGCTCTGCTCTCATTTTTAGCCGGCTGTCTCCAGACAGGGACCAGAGTATGGCATAAACCAGATATCGCTATTAAAAGAGGAAGTAAACTTTGATTTTTACAAAATTTCACCAACAAAAGAAAGACACTTACAGCAAAATTAACCAAAAAGACAGTGGTTCCCAGTTTTCTTGCATCACAGACACCCACTGCACCTTTCCTAGCCCCTCAACGAAGGCTCTGCCCTCGCTTAGGAGAGAGCACCTCCACACAGGTGCAGCATTTCAGAGGTCCTCGGACCTGTGGTCGGGCGCAGTGGTGAGCTCTGTGAAGCCCCTGATGCCCCCTGACCTGAATGTAGCGCTCCAACTGCTCGATCTGCATGGGGAAGTCGGGATGGTTGGCGTTATACTGCGCCACGTTGCGGCAGGCCTGGTGCAGCATGGAGAAGAGCGAGCCCAGGCAGCGCAGGCGCGTTAGGTCCATGATGTGCTCCAGCTGGAAGGCGTGCTCTAGTGCCTTGGTGACCAGGCCGTTGGACGTGAAGTACGGTTGCATGATCGTGGCTGCATCTCTTTGGATCTGGAAAGTGGAATGAGTGATACTTAACTATCTTTCAAAAGGCAGGCGAGTTTCATGGATTCTAACCTGGTCCCAGGAGAAGGTCATATGACCTTGGAAAACTAATTTTGGATGAAACTTCGGTGACCAATCCTCATTCCTTCACCCTGGTGGTTCTCAAAAACCCTGCTTCCCAGGAACTTTGGTTTTCTCACTGAACATGGCAAAGAGCAGTCTTCCATCAATTTGTAGAGAAAAGTAAGATAATGAAAAGAATTCGGTAAATTTTCCCATATATGACTTTTAACATTTGTAGCTGCTACAGCCGGGCTTCCTTGTTTAAGCTGGCGGAAGACAACATTGATTACACAACACTTGGCTGAGACTCACGCCTGTAATCCCAGCACTTTGAGAGGCCAAGGCAGGTGGATTGCTTGAGCCCAGGAGTTCAAGACCAGCCTGGGCAACATAGTGAGACCACATCTGAACATCCTAGCACCCTCGCGTCATGATGTGTGGGTCCCACCTGGGCGTACCTGCAGCATGGGAGAAGCGGCCTCCTCCCCCTCATCCTCTTTGCCCTTGCGCCGCCGCTGTGCCTCATCCTCCCCTTCATCCAGCGGGATGCTGCGTAGCCTGGCCAGGAAGTTGTTGAAGATCATGTCGGTGCTCAGCACATCCTCACTGAACCAGACCATGCCGCAGCGCGACACTGTGGCCAAGGTCGCATATTTCAAGTCCTGCACCTCAAACATTATTCTCACCTTGAAAGAAAACATTAAGCAGATTTAATGACATAGATTTAGAAAAAACCTGGACATTAAGATTCTTTCACCTATATACACACTGAAAGGGTGACTTAAAACTTAATTTTCCTATACAGAAAGTAGCCGGGCATGGTGGCGTGTGCCTGTAATTGCAGCTACTTGGGAGGCTGAGGCAGGAGAATCACTTGAGCCTGGGAGGTGGAGGTTGCAGTGAACCAAGATCATGCCACTGCACTCCAGCCTGGGTGATAGTGAAAACCTGTCTCAAAAAAATTTTTTTTCTGCACTTATTAAAAAAAAAACAACACCTACAGCTCACATCACTACAGTATTCACCATTCTCTCTACAGGAATCTGGGCAGGACAAGTGTGTGTGGCAGGGAGAAGAGCAGGGCAGACCACCGTGTTTAAGGTTTCCCACTGTTCTTGAGGGCACAGAAGCAACAGCCCCTCCAAGGGTGATGTCAGTAGTGACTGCGTCCTGGGTACGCACTGGGCCTGGATCCCTCCAGTCTCATACAACCTGACCAGGCATGACCAGGCAGGCATGCTGTGTCTCCAGTG